AAAACTAAAACCAAGTGAATACTTGCTAAAATGTTTTTTTTTTTAAATAATTCTAGAAATGCTACCATCTACCGAGAGGCAAGAGGGTCATTAATGTCACTTTTGAATGCACCTTATTTTAGGTCTGCAGATTGACTATTATCTGGCTTACAGTGGCATTGCAGTGATGTCTTCTTGAAAGGTATTGATTTTTAGGAATCAGACAATGTGCCTCTTCTTGCTCCTTTGACTTTGATTGAATTTCTACAGCTTATTTTTCCAAATGAAATAAAAAATGTAATACTAAGAAATACATTTCCATGTGTTTTTTCTTTAACTGCTATAAAATAAATTTCTTTTGCTTCCAGGCAAGTAAAATAACTAAGTAGAAGGATGTATTTCTTATGCTCGTGTAAAGTAAGAATATATCACTTTTCTGACAGTTAGTACATATTACACCAACTGATGTTATGTCTTCCCAATATTCCAAAACGTTTTTCATATTTGAAAAGGTGGTTTCTACAGTAGCTGTAGATTGATCACAATATGGTTTCTTGGTAATTATAAGATATAAAGTTTTCACCTTCACTTTTTACATTATTTTGAAAGCAATGCACTGTCTGTGTAATTAACCCTCTGTGATCACAATGGTATTTATTTCACAACAGCAATAAATCAACCTGGCTAAGTTACGGGTTACCTTTTTAAAAAAAAAATGCTCATATGTTGGCATGGAATGGAGAGCTTGAAGACAAATCATAGACTTCTGATAAATGATTTATCTTAGGCCCCTTCATAGCTCATTTGCTTGATGAGTGTCTGTCATTTAAAAAAGAAAGCTGCGAGCAAGTATAAAGTATAGCTACCTACAGGTGGCTACACATACCGGCAGCAGCTTTTATTCCGCCCTGCTATGCTGCAATCCCAGACCTTTCTGAATGGTCTTTCAGATAGCATCTAAGCTTGTTAGTCCTCCCCACCCACCAAATTCCTTTTGGCCCATCACTGTCATGGTCTGCTTTATTAACCAATAGGAATGTGTGTGAGGTGGGAGGGCAGGGGCAAATTCTGTCACTACCAGGAAGTGCTGGAGCTTTGCACGTTCAAAACACCCTTACATTAGGCCGTAGCTGAAGGAAATAAAAGCTGCTGTTAGTATGTGCAGAAACTGCTGGGTGGTTGCACTTCATACTTGCTAGCATATGGTTGCTTTAACTCTAATGATATATATCAAAGCAAGTGACTTTTCACTGAACACTGGACATGCATAAGACACTATTAGTCAAGATGCATCCTTCAGTAACTAAACTTTCAATGAGTATTGACGTGTAGGTAGTTCCCTCACAAGTAGTTAACAGTGTCAGGACAGCCTAGGTGGCTGTGAGGAGAAGTAGGTCAGTGATTTTTTTTTAAGCATGTAAATCTTTATTGGGTTTTACAAAATACCATACAAAATGCAACTGTTAGATGAAATAGATTAAGCATATACGTATACAGACAGGTTGCCAGCCGGCTCCCTGATTATTTCCATCTTTGTAATAATATAACATCTTATACTATAATTCAAATCAAACATTGAAAGCAAATGTTCACATATTCTAAAAATGGGTGATCTTATATTATAGATCACTAATTGAAATAATTGAAATAAAATTGACAAGTTAACCCAGGTTCGGAGGAGTCGGGAAGGAATGGTTACAAGTGGAAGGTATCCCCATGTTGCGTGTTTTGTCATTGAGGATGATCCTCATGTGATAGGATGTAATAGATGGGTTGGAGTGGTGGAGACAATGAGGGAGGAGGGGGATGAGGAGGAGGGGTCCTGTATTACCTGGAATAGGCAGTAAAAGGGGGTTAGCGACCCTAAGTGTGGATGTAACCGTGACATAAAATTAAACTTTCCCAAAATCCCTGGATGTTGGGGCATTGCCAAAAAAGGTGAGTTAGATCAGGCCGGGGAGTCTGACATTTAGGGCAGGCTTGAAGCCATGCAGAATGTGGACGTGTGGGACCAAAGTTGAAGGCACAGTAAGCCCTGTTAATTAATTTAAATTGTATTTCTCTCCACTGTTCGCTACGTATATTTTTGCACACTGCGTGCCAGCTCCTGAGCATCAGGTCGTAGGTATCTTCAGGGGATAGTTGTAAAAGTGTGGCCCACTTGTGAGCATAGCAGGGTAACTTTGAGGCTGTGTCCCCCGGGGAAGGGCGAAGTATAGAGTATGCCCGAGAGAGAGAGATTTTTTGTGATGAATGTGCCATCAGCTTAGAGAAAGAGGAGTTGGTGTCTGGGCGTGCAGGGAGGTGTATATGGGTTCTGAGGAAGGAGGTGATCTGACCATATTGAAGAAAGTGATCCTGGGTCAGTTGACGAGATGCTATCAATTCTGTTAGAGTCCTGCATTCTCCCTGGGGATTCAAAAGGTCCTGTAGTGTCCGAATACCTTGGACATGCCAGGTTTTATAGATGCCCATGGGGAATGCAGGAGAAGACAGAATGGGCATGAGTGGGGTTGTTGTTCCAGGGAGTTTACAGTTTTCGTATCTCCCTCCATGAAATTACTAATGAGGACATTCTGTTTAATTGATGGTGGTAGTTTTTGTAAGGGTGTGTGTAATACTCCTGCAAGGGACCACGGATGCACCAAACGCTGCTCCAATCCTGTGTTAGAGTAATGTTCAGTATTGTGCGACCAGTCTCGCACCTGCCGGGGGAGGCATGCTAAATTATATAGTCGTATGTCTGGTACGTTCGCCCCTAATTGGGACTTAGGGTTTTGGAGCGTACGCAGTGCAATCCTTGGCTTCTTGTTCCGCCAAATGAATGTGGTGAAGGCCCTATTGAGCAAGCGGATGTCAGTGTGTTTGAGCAGGAGAGGTAGTGTTTGGAGAGGGTAGAGAAGTCGTGGGAAGCTAATCATTCTCAGTAGAGAATTCCACGGTCAACTGTTAATGGTATTATAACAAAGTGGAAGCAACTGAGAACAACAGCAACTCAGCCACGAAGTGGTAGGCCACGTAAAATGACAGAGTGGGGTCAGCGCTTGCTGAAGCACACAGTGCACAGAAGTCGCCAACTGTCTGCAGAGTCAATAGCTACAGACCTCCCATCTTCGTGTGACCTTCAGATTGGCACAACAACAGTGCATAGAGAGCTTCATGGAATGTGTTTACATGGCCGAGCAGCTGCATCCAAGCCTTACATCACCAAGTGCAATGCAAATCGTTGGACGCAGTGGTGTAAAGCACGCCACGACTGGACTCTAGAGAAGTGGAGACATGTTCTCTGGAGTGACCAATCACGCTTCTCTGTCTGGCAATCCCATTGAACGTGTCTGGGTTTGGTAGTTGCCAGGAGAACGGTACTTGCCTGACTGCATTGTGCCAAGTGTAAAGTTTGGTGGAGGGGCGATTATGGTGTGGGGTTGTTTTTCAGTAGTTGGGCTTGGCCCTTTAGTTCCAGTGAAGGGAACTCTTAATGGATCAGCATACCAAGACATTTTGGACAATTTCATGCTCCCAACTTTGTGGGAACAGTTTGGGGATGGCCTGATTTTTCATCTACCTGCTGATATTTGGAGGACAGTAACGATTTTCACGGTGTTGTCCCACCACCCCTGCACAAGAACTAATCATTGTGGCTTTTTGTTCATAAAGATTTGCCAATTTCTTTTATTCAACACAAAAAAACTTTTTACACAGTACCTTGTCCAGTATTACCATTCTTATCACCTCTATTTTAACTTTGACTAATCATTAAAAGTTAAGTTTTAACTATACCAACTGCGGCCGCTATTGCTGCTGAGTTCAAAAGTCTGAAAAAAGATTTTGAAATGATCGGGATAGGATCAAAACAAAGTGCAGTATTAATGAGGGTCTGAGAGCTAAAATGAAGTACAAAATAGTATACATTTATTAGTTTAAAATACTTGGTCTAAATTAATACACCAATTAACAACCACCTGTAATTATTTAAAATTGGTTATTGCAACAACCCTCACTCACACTCCCAAAACATGCACGCAAGGACTAGCTGATCAGCTTGATGAATGGTGCCGGTTTAACCTCAAGTTCATTGAGAAAAAACAGCGCTAAAAATATGAAAGTAATATGTAACTCAAATTATAATGCCGTGTGTCCTTTTTCCTTGAATATACAATATTTCCGTTTAGATCTTTCCAAGAGAACTTAAAGAATTGTAATCCCTGAGATGAATGGTGTAACAATTAATCACTTACATTCTGGCCACTGCTCTCTTGTTGTAGCAGGCAGACCACGGGACAAGTGATTTGGTCGGAGACTAATATTGGATACACGGACAATGTCCCGGCAAATTCAATTGAAGCACTTTCACCCGGAGTGTTAATTACACATGGAACAAAATATCAGCCAATGCAATGTGTAAAGTCACGAACAGAGTAGTACTCACAGGTGCTGGTTAATTTGCGGACGATTTGTCTCGGGAGATATAGATGTCTCGAATGCCTGTGATTACAAATGGTCTTCCGTAGTGGGGTTAATCCTTTTTACTTAGAAGAACTCTCAGAGTCTTGGAATGTTTTCTTGATCCATAATTTGAGATATTTCCAAACCTAAAGGCATGTACGCTTGTGGCAAATGTCATATCTGTCCACCTGTACATAAATCCAAACAATTTACAGATTCAGCAGGCACCACCAGCTTTGACATCCTTCACTTCATTAATTGTAATACCACCCAGGTGATCTATCAATTAGAATGCCCATGTAAAAAAATTATATATTTGTAAGACTAAACGTGAATTAAAAATAAGAATTGGTGAACATCTGAGAGACATAAGAAACAATGACAAAGAAAGCCCATTAGCAGAACATTTTACGAAATATCATGGAGGACAAACTACAGGGATAAAAATTAGGGGAATACATGCACTAAAATTACCAGCACGCAGGGGTGATTTCAATACGATTTTGCTCCAGAAAGAAAAAATTTGGATTTTCAAGTTAAATACGATGGTTTCATATGGACTTAATAATGAATGCAATCTACAAGTCTTCCTTTAATTCTTGTCCTGTACAATCCTATTCAGGAAATCCATGGTCTTTTCTTAGATTTGAGCTACCCTGCCCTTTTCTATGTCTTGTCACGACTACCAGCAAGATCACAGGGAATAGAGCTTTCACAGTTCAAACTGTTAAATGTTGGAACCAATGTAACAGAGGATTAATTTTCATCAATTCTTATTAATTATAAAAAACATTTGCTGTATTTAAATTTATTCCAATGCTGAATTCCCAAATATTGAATTTAATAATCAAATAATTTCATTTATCTTATTAATTATATCACATTATGCTATATACAAATTGCTCCTTAGACTAGAGGCTCTGTATTCATATAGTCAATTAGGGACCACATGGCCAGTTAAATATCATTCACCTAGGATTAAGGTTGATGTTTTAAGAATGCATGATAATACCGTTACTCACTCCATTTTAGCACCGAAGGGGTTAACAGCAACATAAGTGTTGAGGAAATAAAAACACTGAGTAATTGCCCCCTACCAACATCTGACGAAGCCCTGAGAAAGAAGGCGGGGCAAAACGCGTTATGGTAGATGACAACAAGCTGATTGACTGCCTGCATGTCAGGCTCTAAAACTTCCCGGCTTCAATCACTATACAGCGCAACTTTGTGACCAAAATCCCTTGGAAATATCTCAAATTATGGATCAAGAAAACATTCCAAGACTCTGAGAGTTCTTCTAAGTACAGAGGATTAACCCCACTACTGAAGACCATTTGTAATCACAGGCATTCAAAACATCTATATCTCCCAAGACAAATCGTCTGCAAATTAACCAGCACCCGTGAGTACTACTCTGTTCGTGACTTTACACATTTCATTGGTTGATATTTTCTTCCATGTGTAATTAACACTCCAGGTGAAAGTGCTTCGATTGAATTTGCCGGGACATTGTCCATGTAACCAATATTAGTCTCCGACCAAATCACTTGTCTCCTGGTCTGCCTGCTACAACCCGAGAGCAGTGGCCACAAATGTAACTGATTAATTGTTACACCATTCATCTAAGGGATTACAATTCTTTAAGTTCTCTTGGAAAGATCTAAACAGAAATATTGTATATTCAAGGAAAAAGGACACACGGCATTATAATTTGAGTTACATATTACTTTAATTTTTTTAGCGCTGTTTTTTCTCAATGAACTTGAGTTTAGACCGGCACCATTCATCATACTGATCAGCTTGCGTGCATGTTTTGGGACTGTGAGTGAGGGTTGTTGCAATAACCAATTTTAAATAATTACAGGTGGTTGTTAATTGGTGTATCAAGTTAGATTGTAAACTAATACATTTATACTATTTTGTACTTCATTTTGGCTCTCAAACCCTCATTAATACTGCACTTTGTTTTGATCCTATCCCGATCATTTCAAAATCTTTTTTCTGTCTTGTTTAACAGTTGGGGGCTGTTTTTGAGAGTCATTTTGTCATTGAATTCACCCTAATTCAGGGTTCACTTAAAATTGAGTTTGGTACTCTGGGTACAAGCTCTCCCCTTTTTTTGATGAGTACAAAAGTCTAATGAACAGCCTCCCCATAATGCTCCCTCCAATCATCCGTTTACTCCTCCCACCTGTCATTTTTAGAAAAGCTCTTCTACTCCCACCAGTTCTTCTGCACAAATTGTGCCCTGCTGGCTTGACAAAGAGGCACAGCCTCAAAACATTATTCCTGAGTGCCGGGCGGCACGAGCTTCACTCGAGTAGCCGTCACGACTCAGCGTGGCCAGCTGAGCCGTTTCCACCACAGCATCACAGGATCGCTCAGCGCAAGTGACAGCCGCATATACAAATTGATTTCCACTCAGCAACTATGGAGCCACCGAATTTCATCTTCATTCATGGATCAAGTCTCCATACAACATTGAATAAAAGAAACACCTTTTACAAAACTGGACTATCATCCCAATCTTCATCAGGATGGCAATTATCATCACCATCCAACAGTGAGTGATTCCTTTTCCATTCTTTTTTCCATACCCATCACCATACGCTTCAAATAAAATTCTGTGATCTCTTTTAGGTAATAGCGCTCCTTTTGTTTTCCAATTGTTTTTTCTATGCACAGGGCTCCCCTCCCTGTTAAAGGAGACAGCTTATCAATTACTTTGACTAAAATCCCCACCACCAGTAGTGCTCTTAACACACTTTTTGTTTTGTTTCTGATTGCACAGCTAGCTCAGCACACTAAGGGCAAGGAGAGGCAACAGAAGAAGTTCTCCATTTTGTTATCCCGAACTGGAAACAGCCATACTAGGGAAGAACTAACTTGGAGGCCGCAGGAGGAAATGGGGACATTACAGAATAAAGAGAAATGGGTGAAGAACCTTTCAGATAGGGTTCTCACCCAGCCCGAGATGGATGTCCTTGCTAAAGGGTTATTTTTTTCCAATCACACCCAGAACCATCCTTGTAATGGATACTACCTCATCTACTGAGGCCTCAATCCACAGTAATAAAGTGCCACAGGGTGAGGCTGAACAACTTCGCCTAAAAGTGTCTGCAGCTCTGGCCAGTGCCAAACCACCTCCGTCAAACCTGACTACAGAAGAAAGGAGGACGGTTACATCCCCGAAGAAAGACAAGAGTATCACCATCCTGCCTGCAGATAAAGGAAAATGCATAGTTGTACTTAATACATCTGACTACGATGATAAGGTGACTGCACTTCTGAATGATAACAACACATATGATGCCCTAAGAAGGGACCCAACCAGTGGTTACAAGAAGAAAGCTATAGATCTACTTACAACAGCTGGAAAAGGACAAAGCCACTGATCGGGCTATGTATCATCGCCTCTACCCTGGTGTAGCCCCTCCGTGTATATATGGACTTCTGAAGATAAATAAGAATGGGACCCCTCTCAGGCCAATTGTCAGCAGCATAAACTCTGTGACTTATAACGTGGAAAAATACTTAGCCAGAGTCCTTGCCCCTTTGGTTGGAAATACACAACACCACATACAGAACTCTCAGGATTTCACAACCAAAATCAAGAACTTAATATTGGGCACAGAAGAAACAATGGTATCCTATGATGTCACATCCCTTTTCACCTGCATAACCACCACAGAGGCAATTGGAACAGTGAGAAAACGGTTACTACTAGACAACACCCTAGGCAGCAGAACAGAACTTGACCCAGATCAAGTGTGTGCCTTATTGGACCTTTGCATGAGTATCACCTATTTCAAGTACAAGTACAAGTTCTTCAGGCACAAACATGGCTGTGCCATGGGATCACCAGTTTCACCTATTATGGTGAACCTGTATATGGAGGAAGTAGAAAGCAAGGCCCTGACAACCTTCAAGGGTATTACACTCAGTCATTGGTTCAGATATGTGGATGACACTTGGGTTAAGATTCACAAACAAGAGTTACAGGCTTTCACTGACCATATCAACTCAGTGGATCACAACATCAGGTTTATGTGGGAAGATATGCAAAACAACAAACTGGCTTTCTTGGACTGTTTAGTAACAGTAGAAGAGGGAAGGAGGCTGGAAATAGAGGTCTACCAAAAACCAACACACACGGACCAGTACCTGCTACCACCACCACCCTCTAGACCACAAACTGGGAGTCATCATGACTCTACACCACCGGGCAGAGAAAATTCCCACCAAAACAGAGGCCAACACGAAGGAATTCAAACACCTCAGGGGGGGCCTTAAAACATGCAGGTATCCAGACTGGGCTTTTGTCAAAACAGAAAGAAGAGGAAAGAATGCCAAGAGTACCAGTGAGGTGAAAAGCATGACAAATGGAAGAATTTGGTCAACCCATATTTAGCTGGGGTGTCTGAGAAACTCAGATGGGTTTTTAAAAAACATCACATCCCTCTCTGCTTTAAACCCAGCAATACACTGAGGCAACAACTGGCTCACCCAAAAGACCCAACGCCAAAACACAAGATGAACAACATTGTGTATGCAGTCCAGTGCAGTGAGGAGTGCTCAGAATTGTATGTCGGTGAAACAAAACAGCAGCTACACCAGCGTATGGTACAGCATAGAAGAGCCAAACCCCTGGTCAGGATTCAGCAGTATAGCTACATCTAAAGGAAAAAGGTCACTCCTTTGAAGACAGTCAAGTACGCATCCTAGACAGGGAGGAGGACTGGTTTAAAAGAGGTGGGAAAGAGGCCATTTATGTAAAACTGTAGAAGCCAAGCTTGAATAGAGGTGGGGGACAGACAGACAAGCAGACAGTTCAGTAGGCATATAGTTATGCGACAGGTTAACTTGCAATCAAGCAGACAATTCAGTAGGCATATAGTTATGCGACAGGTTAACTTGTAGTCAAGCAGACAGTTGCATAGGCATATAGTTATGCGACAGGTTAACTTGTAGTCAAGCAGACAGTTGCATAGGCATATAGGTATGCGACAGGTTAACTTGTAGTCAAGCAGACAGTTGAATAGGCATATAGGTATGCAACAGGTTAACTTGTAGTCAAGCAGACAGTTGAATAGGCATATAGGTATGCTGTGGAGATCTCTCCACCATAACCATGTAGCTATGGTTGAAATACTTGCTGTTTGTGGCTCTCCCAGTAATGGGATAAGGTATCTGTAGCAACTCTCCTTCAGTGGTGGGTTCCTGGAGTAGCAGGGGCTGCTGGTTTGATCAGCGTCTTGCTTCAACAATAGTGGGACGCCGATCAAGCGGCTTTATGCCGACTACTCGGGTGAGTGGGCGGAGTCTCATGACGCGCCTGCCCAGTGACACCGACGGACCCCGTACGAGAGTGGGAGGAGTCTCGCGGTGCGCCTGCGCAGTGGTGCGTACGGATCGTTGTCCCGGCCGCGGGGTGATACGAGTATCACAGTTTCCGGTTAATAGTATATTATTTGATCAAGTGATTATCTCTAATGGGACGCGTCAAGGATGTCCGCTATCCCCGTTCCTATATATAATAGCTATGGAACACTTAGCGGTGGCTTTAAGAGCTAATCAAGAGATCAGAGGTGTGAAGATTGGTGGGCAATCTCATAAACTTGGTCTTTTTGCAAACAACCTTCTACTCTATATTTCAAATCTGAGAAGGGCTTTTCATTCTCTGCTAGAAGAATTAGAGAAGTTTTGGAGGTGGAGTAATTTTAAAGTGTATGTAGCGAAGTCACAATGCCTTGATGTTACTCTAGAAGCGGAGGAAAGTAAATTTGTGAGGGATAAGTATCCATTTAAATGAGACATTAAGCTATTTGGCCGTTAATATATTGCCTTGTGTAGATAAACTTTGTGAGAACAACTATTTATCTCTTCTGAAACTAGTTCAAAAGAGTTTGGAGCTCTGGGCCACTAAAAAACATTCATGGATGGGCCGGATGGCCCTAAAAAAATGTATATTTTGCCGCGTTTTCTTTTTTATATCATACACTACCCACTCATGTCCCTAGAGACTTCTTCCATTCATTGCACAGAACTCTGGTCCCTTACTTCTGGTTAAATAAGAAGGTCAGACATCAATATGACATATTAGTGAAATGTAAAAATGAGGGGTGAGTAGGTTTACCTCATATGGAATTATACAATATGGCAGCGGTTTTAAACTGTATGGTGGATTGGTTCCAAGGTGAAAAATTAAAGATATGGGTGTCAATAGAACAACATCTAACTCCTATACCTCTTACATCACTTTCATGGGTGAACCCTATTCATAGACCATCTTTAACCCCTTAGTGACCAGTGACATCCATAGTTCGTCACTGGCACCGGGCCCTTTAAACAGACTCTGTTTACAATTGTAAAGCTGACTGTCGGCTTTACAATAGAAGCGATCTGGCGACTC